AATTACAAGCCAAGTTTAATATGTTGTGCGTCGAAGCTCTAAATCCGATGGGTTGATTTTTGGCAAATAAATCATGAAAAATAAAGTATGAAATACATACTACAAGAACACAGAGATTTAAGTGGTTCACCCTAAAAGGACTACATCCACGAGAACAGTAAACTTAAATCCATTATACTAATAAAAGATACATCATAGATTTTGAAACATAAAATTACCTCTCTAACCCTCGATAAAACCCAGTCAACAACCCGTTTAAATCACTCTTCCTTCTTTCTCTTTACCTTTAGCAACCATTACCGACAACATTAGATAAAAGACACTCATTCTCTTTACTTCTAGCAACCATTACCAACAACATCAGATAAGAGATGCGAGAGTAATAAAAAACTGAATTTATCTCTAACTAATAAGGGAAAGAACTTTCTTCTTTCTAAGAAGAATCCTTTCATTTTATACACGTGAGGCTCTGCCCTCTTTCTACCTAGAGAAACCACCATTCCCATATGGTGCCCTATTCCTCTCTCTCTAGAGAAACTACCATTCCTATATGGTAACCCAAATAGAGCGTACAAATTCTCTGCACTTTCATTATATATATATGTATATATATATATATTTATCTATCCAAAAGTTATAATCTTTTTGAATTTCTATTTCCTTTAGAAAACGTAGCAATATCAATCTGAATCTCACGTAATAAGGAAATATCTCAATCCTAATAATATGAGATTTCCTATGTGGATGATTTTGGATAGTACAAAATCCAACAAAATAAAGGCCGAGGCTTTATGGAAAAAAATAAAGTCACGTCTTAAATCTTAACAAAACATTGCAGTGTTGATATCATAAAGTCATTGAATTGATCGTAACCTTGATTATTATAGATTTGATAAGCAAAAGGACTTCATTTCATCTGAGTCGTAAGAAATGAGTTGGGTCGTGGTGGTAGCACCCCTATACTTAGTTATCACATTTTTTGTTTTTAATCCTGCTAACACCATCCATTGACACCCTAAAGAAAAAGCTAACTTCCTTATCTATCTTAAAAAAATGGGAGAGTGCTTGTCTTCCCCTCTAAATTACCCAAAAAATAATATTATCTAAGTTGTCAATTCCAAGAGTTGATGGATCCATGAGACCAATATCATTTTTAAGCCACAAATTTTATACCCAATGTAGAAAATAGACTTCAGAACCATCATGGAAATTTCACATGCTCAAAGCGTTGATTTTGAGGTGAGGATTTATTTTATTTTATTTTTGTATTTTTAAATATAAGACCTTATAGAAAGGGCATCTTTTTTTTTTTATTGAGCTCATTCTTTCAATTCAGGGGAGGCATTTCTTAACTAAAACGTGGCAGAGGAACATTGTAAAGTTTTCTAAGGCTGCTGTCGATTGTTAATTATTTTCGCAAACGCATGTACAAGGATCTGAATTGAATAAAAGCCGCATGTCCATTGCAGGTAAATTATTTTTCAGAGTTTTAATAGCAAGCATTAAATGCAAAAGAGGGGAGCTTCAAAAAGACCAATTTACCAGTGTTCAGTTTAAAATCTCGAACTGTAAAAAAAATGAATGACAAAACTACCCTTTTTAGGAGCTTTGGTTGCACAATTTAGGCATGGCAATGGCCTGTCAGGCCCAGCCCGATTCGCTAGGCTCTAAAAAACTAGGGCCTGATCAACAAGATGTGGTTTAAGGACCAGGCTAGGCTGGGATTAGGCCAGAGCCATGACAGTGCTGGCCTGTCCCTTTATTTATTACTTTTCTTCTTTTTTTTGGATTGTATTTTGACATTCCCGGCCTGATTAGGCTAGGGTTGAGCATATATGGACAATGGCCGGGCTAAGCCTCTGGCCGACCTAGGCCTGGCCCGTTGTCAGCCCAATCACAACTCATATGGAACCGGCAATGGATGAAAAGTAGTTGTTGAGATAGAAAGATAGAGAGAGAGAAAGGTCTACTATCTTAAGTGAAGCTAGTGGTTTAAAATTTGCTTGTCCCACTAGGGAGTCACCCAAGTTGAACCAGATCAAGAGGCTCATGATTCCAGGCAAAATAACTTTGGAATTGCCCAAGCTTCTCAATTTTTTAATTTTTTGTAGCTTTTATTTTTATTTTTTTTTGTTGAATATAACCGACTCTGGAATTGCCCAAGTTGCCCGGGGCGATTATGATTCGGACCCCGCTTGTGTGAAGCTTCATTTTGATTTTTGTATCACTGAGTTAAACATCATACTTTGAAAACCAACCTTTTTTAATTGCAGTAATGCATTAAACTCAACATCAAACTTGTTAATCCTTCTCTCTTTCGGTATGGCAACAGGTCGGGTCGGGTCAATAATTATGGAGTAGACCTGACCCAAAAATTAAAATATCTATGTATTTAACTATATTTAATTATATTTCATGTATTGAGACCCAAAAAAATATTACCCAGACCCAAATACGAATAGTGTTCGGGTCCAAAATTTGGATCCGGACCCAACTTGCCAGGTCCAATTTTTGAATCCATACCTAAACCCGGATCTGATCTCCCCCCTAGATCGAGGTCCATTCCCACTCCTGCTCTCTTTCTCTCTCTCCATGCACATATTTATTATACTAAGTGGAAAATTTACTCCCTTAAATTATTTTTACTATCCCCACTATTGCTGCTCATCCATTTATGCCTCTTTTGGCGCATGGGCTTCTCTGGAGGTCCCCATGCCAATTATCTCACTCGAGCACCCTTAACTTTCAAGTATACCCCCACGTCCTACTCAAATTATTGCAAATTCTCTAACTGATAATAATGGGAGTTGTTGTTGAGGCTTGAGGTTTGATTACTGCACTTTTACTTGCTAGCACCCTACATCTTATTTGGATATCATATTCCATGTATTATATCGTACAATGCTAGGTGTTCAAGTCGATGGCTCTTCTCTACTGTCCAGTTTTCCTTCAGCGCTATGATTTCATGATAAAGACAGATAATTCATCGGATTTTATATTATTACATTGTTTTTATTTGATACAAGAATGTCACATTCATTTCTAGTAGTCTGGTGTGAATTCACGCAGTTGGGGGTCTGTCACTTCTCTCCACAAATTTTGAGAGAAATATTCTTAAACTCTAAGCATGGTCAATGGACTGATTATGATGATAGAGGTGATCAAGGCCATTTTTTACTAAAATTAAGTAGTCGTATCATACTTTCCTATATTTTTTTAAACTATTTTCAAGATTCTTGTGAGGGGTTTGTTTTTATGAATGAAGAGATGTAGTTGTTGGTATGCGTCCTCTAAAACATCCACTGTCCATTTATAATGGATGGTGGAGATTGTGGCAAAAAATTAATTTTTGGGTGAAATTTCTACCGTCTAGGTATAAACAGACAATGGATGTGTTCAAGTAGGCAATCCAATTATTGCATCCTTAACTCATGAAACACTTTTCCTTCTTGTTATTTATCAAAGGGAAAAGCTTATAAAAAGATTACAATCTTGATTACAGAAGTGAGGTTGTACAAATTTACACTATATATATTTCTTTGGATGGTGTAAATTTGATTTTATCTTAAAAGACATGTTTTTTTTTTTGCACTATCTTAAAAGACATCAAATCTACACTTTCCAACAAAAAATAGACAACATAAAATATTGCAGCTTTATTTCTACAAATAAAGTTTCCACCTTATATAAACTGCACCATTTATCAAATGAGCATGAGAGGTCCATGTCATTAGAACTAAAGTCCATTTCATTTAAAAACTACTCATTTGAATTATTTCCATCAATAAATCCATTATTAAAATTAAGTTTTGGATAGAAGAATATTTCCTAAAAATTCTCTATTACCTAAGCTAGATAACAACCTAGACAACAACATTTTCTCCATTACGAAAGTTAAATAACGACCTACACTCCCTAGACTCTACCCGATACTACGGTTTCCAAATTAAAAACAAGAAGAAGAAGAAGGAAACAGAAAGTAAAAAGTTTTCTCCGAGTCAGCAGGTGTAATAGCCCGCTGACCCTTCGACATCCATCTCAAAGATGAACGTTGTGTAAAGCACATAAGATTAAATAAACATATGGGCGGTGGCAAAAAAAAACTCCAAAAAAAGCACATTTTAAAGTTCACAATTTTGTTTGCCTTTCATATTCATGATTAGCTTGCCCTAGATCATGAATCTCTAAAATTTTGATAAAAAAATCCATCTTTAAAGCAGATTTTAGAGGGGGCTGCATGTCTACATATGAGTCGGCTATAGAAACCCATCCAAAAGAAAAGTTTTGCCTAAGGTTGCAACTTGAACCATCAAATTAAAGTACACGTCCTAACTTTGTCGAGAGATACAATCTCAGTGTAAAAAATTCTTAAGATGGTACAAAAACCTATTTTCATCTCTAGTTATAAAATTTTAAACTAAAAAAAAAATGAATCTAATCAAGCATATCTATAAAAACACACGAAGCTCTTGCAAATGAACGGTCCAAGATAATGTGTTGTAAGATGTACTATTTTTAGAACTTAAAACCTCTTGTTTTCTCCATATCTATACATATTGATGTCAAGATGATCAATTGAGTATTTTTCCAACATCATAACAACTATTTTCAAAATATTTGGAGGTTGGCCTTAATTCTACATTTTAAGGTGTCAACCTTACATCAACTTTTTCCAGAGCCATGCTATCACAATGTCATATCCACCACGGCAGGGGCGCAGCAGTCATTTTGCATAGTTACAAGGGTACTTTTGACCAACATGATAACATCAGGGGACTTCGTTGACATAAAAGGAGAAGATTGGACCACTTTCGTCATTATAACGTACAACATGCATTTTGAAAAAGCCAGTAAGTTTTCCATCGTCAAATTTAAATTTCAGGGGCAACATAGTAATTTTCCGCAACGCTTATTCTGCATCTAGAGAGAGAAAAGAAAGTGTTTAGAGAGAGAAAGGGAGTAAAGGAAAGTTCGAGGAAGGACAGTTTTCGAACCAGAAGCCCCCCCCACCTTTGCCTTTCAAAACCAAACCTCTATAAAAGAAAAGAGGAGACCCGAACTCTTACTATAACAACCCTAGATTTATTGATCAAAGAACCTGAGTTGTTCCTTTGCTTTGTTTACAAGCAATTCTCATACACTTCCTAGCCCATGTTCTATTTACTTGTTGTTCCTGTAATCAACATTTGCTTCAAAGTTCATGCTCGGATGGTAACTTCATCGAAATTCTGTTTTTTCGTGATATTTCTTTTCGTTTACTGTGAACTCTTCTGTTTCCTGCATTGAAAGGGTGGTACATGATTTTGGTGCATTATCCAGTCACTCGTTTTGAGTAGTTTCCTCTATTTAGTTTTTTTTGGGTAATTCGGTGGGGAAGATTCCTGTATTTAGTTTCTATGCAAATTCCTGTTTTTAATTTCTTTTGTGTGTTTTTTGTGTGACAATGTGATATTTTTCTGTTTCATGGAAGCTGTTTTATGAATTATGTCGGTCTAGTCTCACTAACAGTTACTGAACCATGGCTTATTAAAATAAATAAAAAATAAAAAATAAAGATTGAGGGTGGTTTTCTCTATGGCGACATGTATGCGAATTGCTTGAATGGGTTACCGAGTTTTTGCGACGGCATGCCATTCTTTGATCAAAAGTTATTGAATTGGGGTGAAAGAGATGCTCTAGATTCTTTAGTTTTTACTTCAGTTTCTGTAACTAACCCATCACAAAAAGGAAAATATATAGGGTGGATATCTTGTGGGTCACATCATTGCATATTTTACACGACTGGTTAGAGTCTATGCACTGTATTTATTTGTTTCTTTGGTCTTCGGTTTGATATTTTATGTAATTATTTTGATCACTATTCATGGGTATGTGATTATTGTTCTGGTCTCTGTTAAAAACAAGAAAATTTTCTGTGTACTTTCATTCATTTAATTTGTTGGTTTGAGATCCCAGTTATGGGAAAGATTCAGCAAATTTTGCCAGTTTTTCTTTTGGTGAATGAGCATTTGTGGTTTTGCATATTATGAGTTTAAATAGGCTTGGATCTAAAGAATATGGCTCCTTGAAATTTCTTGTGTGCCGATAATTCCCTGGGAAGGCTGCTCATTTCTTTGCTACTTAGGGTTCTTTATTCTTTTATACCCTTAATCACTGTTGAAAAAAATGGGTGATCTAACTGCTAACCGCCCGGTTAGATCGGTCGGTTCCGATTTTGGGCGGTTTTGGTGATCGACTGGTGTTTTAAAATAAATAAATAAATGAAATGTATATAAATTCCTAAATATAATGAATTTGATTTGTAATGCATTTTTTAATATTCTTTACATTATTGTAAAGATTAAAAATTGTTTTGGTCATTAATACTCACTTTAATTAAAAAATTGATTCGTTAAAATCCATTTTTTTTTATTAATTTTCAATTTTATTTGAATGCGTTTTGTTTTAATCATTCTTTATATGCTTTTCATACTTTAATAGTTTTTTTTTTGTATATTTTTTATTTTTTCAACACTTTTTTTTTTCCCGGGACTTGTCAGGTTAGAATGGTTGAATTAGCCGGTTTACCGGTTTGGCCAGTTAAACTGCTTTGGGGCCCATGTCTAGTTAACCGTTCCAGTTCGATTTTGTGAACACTGCCCTTAATAGGCATTGGCTATTACCAAAGCATTTCATACTCCAAATGGAGTATACCTACCATTACTCCCCAGGGTAAAGCATAATCTAGGAATAATTTTAAGATCCCAACTTTTGGGGATGCAACCTCTTCAATCTGTAAATTAACCCTCAATAAAGAAAATTTTTAAATTGCACCCTCTATGCCCTTGAAAAAAACAATTTCTCAAGATTGAACAGAGACCATAAATGATTTTTGGAAGGTGAAATCTAAGTGCTAGGAAACACAAAATTCAATCTTTTTCCTTTGGAAATTTATTCATCTAGTGATTCTCATATTGCTCTCAAAATTTGAAAATAAAATAAATCCTCCCAAGTAGGTCTTTTGACTGAGGGAGTAGATAATATAATACATGCTCTTCGCTATTTAGACTGCTCTACTAATAGAAATGGAAAATTTTAAAAAATTTCATAATATGTTTGCAAATAGTTTATTCTTGCATAATTCCGCTCCCGTTTTTTTGGCAACTATTTGTTAATTTCTTATTACTGCTAGCTCCCACTCACTGGCAAATTACTTGCCACTGGGATCACTTTGAAAATTTGAAACAATTTTGGATTTTGAACCATTGTGTCTTTTATGGCAGAACCAACAGTTTACTGGTTGATTAATTGCTGGGGTGATGGATATTGGGGAACCAGCTTTGGACCTTTTTAGTATGGACAATGGTCTTTTGACTGGTGGAGTACTGGAAGTTAAAGAAGGTAAAAAGAAGGGGACCTTTCCTATGGAACAGAAACCGTTTTCAGCTTGGTCTTGGTCTGTTGAGGACTGCTTAGAGGAGTATAATGTGAAATTAGACAAGGGCTTAAGCTATCGTGAAGCAGAAACACGAAGAAAGATATATGGGTGGAATGAGCTTGATAAAGGAAGTGGAAAACCCTTGTGGAGATTAGTCTTAGAACAATTTGATGACACACTCGTTAAAATCCTTCTTGTAGCTGCCTTAATTTCATTCTTTCTTGCCTATTTTGAAGGTCACGAATCAAGAGAATCAAGCTTAACAGCATATATTGAACCCCTAGTCATAGTTTTGATACTGATTCTGAATGCCATTGTGGGAGTCTGGCAAGAGAGTAATGCTGAAAGGGCTTTGGACGCTTTAAAAGCTATGCAATGTGAATGTGCCAAGGTTCTTAGAGATGGGGCTTGTGTACCTGATCTTCCTGCAAGAGAGCTTGTGCCCGGTGATATTGTTGAACTAAGAGTTGGAGATAAGGTTCCGGCTGATATGAGAGTAGCGGCTTTAAAGACCTCAACTCTTAGAGTGGAACAAAGCTCACTAACTGGAGAGAGCATGCCTGTTAATAAGAGCACAAACCCGGTTTTTATGGATGATTGTGAGTTACAAGCGAAAGAATGCATGATCTTTTCAGGTACCACAGTTGTTAATGGAAGCTGCGTTTGCATTGTAGTGAGCATAGGCATGAAGACTGAAATCGGGAAGATCCAGGCTCAAATCCATGAGGCTTCCTTGGAGGAAACTGACACCCCCTTGAAGAAGAAGCTAGATGAGTTTGGAGAGAAATTGACACAGGTAATTGGGTTTGTTTGCCTTCTTGTTTGGGTCATCAACTACAAATATTTTTTGACATGGGAAACTGTAAATGGGTGGCCCACAAATCTCAGTTTCTCATTCCAAAAGTGCACATATTATTTCAAAATTGCTGTGGCTCTTGCTGTTGCCGCCATCCCTGAAGGCCTTCCTGCTGTTATTACCACTTGTTTGGCACTTGGAACCCGTAAAATGGCTCAAAAGAATGCAATTGTGCGTAAGCTTCCAAGTGTGGAAACCCTTGGGTGCACCACTGTGATCTGTTCTGATAAGACCGGGACTCTTACTACAAATCAGATGTCAGCAACCGAATTCTCCACCTTGGGTGGGAAGAGCACGCTTCCTCGTGTTTTCCATGTGGAGGGAACAACCTATGATCCAAAAGATGGGGGCATTGTGGATTGGACTTATTACAATATGGATGCAAATTTACAAGCATTGGCTGAGATTTGTTCTGTTTGTAATGATGCCGGAGTTTCTTCAGATGGTAAAATTTTTCGAGCTGTGGGCTTGCCCACTGAAGCAGCGCTCAAGGTATGTGTTCTTTTTTTTGTATTCGCTTGAACTTCTTTTGAACCTGAGCTTCAGTTGGTCAATTGACTTTCTTTTAGAGAAGTTAAAAACTATATGCTGTGTAGAATTGTTTAGGAACTTGCTTGAATTTTTTTCCCCCCTTTTCTAGGGAAAGTATGCCTTATACAAAGGACTATTAAAATTCATGGTTCATTGGACCATCATCATCAAACAAAATGATGGATGGTGATGTACAGATTGCAGAATCTACCCTTGGGGTTATGTCCAATTTGGCGGGCCCCACTCTTTCTCCATCTCCCTCCATCAATTCAGTTGACAAGGCTTACCCAATGGACTATTGATATTCCATAGTAAACTAAAGTGCTTTCCCTTCTGTTTTAAGGGAGATAGATTTGTTTTTTGTTTCCTTTTTTTGACAATTGTAGGAGAAGGAATACAATTTCTTATTTGAAGGGTAATTCCATATGAATAGGTCTTAGTTGAAAAGATGGGAGTTCCAGACAAGAGGACTAGGGAAAGAATGAATAATGCTCAACTTGCTGCTGATCATTCTAGTGATAAGAGCACTGTTAGATTGGGTGAGCAGAACCATATCTCTATTTTGTAATCTTTATGTGTATTTTTATGCTCAGTCATTTGTTTATGAGCTTTGATAAATAACATGACCTGCATTTACATTTTAGTGTGTTGTGAATGGTGGACGAGAAAATCAAAAAGGATCGCCACATTGGAATTTGATCGTGTTAGGAAATCAATGAGTGTGATCGTCAAGGAGCCAACTGGAAAGAATCGTCTTCTGGTGAAGGTGGATGATTATCTTACCTTATAATTGTTCTTTATTACAATCACATATTTTTGCAGTGTTGTGAACTTGGCGCCATTTAAACAATCTTTTTCGTTGATATACAATTTTACTATTACATTCTTTTTATTTATCTATTTCGAATGTCCTAATTTTTCTGGCTTCATCAATCGTCATTGTAGCCTTTTTTTAAACTATTTAGGGTCGGCTACACGAATCTTAGTCTGCCATTCTGCTCTATTGAGGGGCATACCCTTGGTGAGGGCATAAGTCCCCATATCTTTTCTCACTACTTCCAACTATGTCATTTTGGGTCTACCCTTTGTCCTTTTGAGCTTTCAATTTGAACACTTTACACCTCCTAACAGGTGTTTTACTGGGTCTGCGCTGCACATGACTAGCCTGCCTAAATCTACTTTCTCTCATCTAATTGCCTATTGGTGTCACACCTAAGTTCTTCCAAATTTATTTATTTTGAATTATATCCCTTATTGTCTTGCCACTCATCCATCTCAACATCCTCATCTCAGCTACACTCATCCTATGGGTGTGGTCCTTCTTGACCGCCCACCATTCCACCCCATGAAGCAAATGTGGTCTCACAACTCTCCTATAGAAGAACTTTCCCTTTAGCTTCATTAGTATTCGATAATCACATAAAACTCCGGTTGCACATCTCTATTATGCCCATCCAGCTCTAATTCTATGTGCGACATCTTTCTCAAACTCTCCATTTTCTTAGATTATTCACTCAAGTTATCAAAAACGCATTTTTTTTTGGTATTTCTTTGCCGCCAATTTTAACCAGTGTAGGAAAAATCAAACCAGAACGGTTAACCGGACATGGGGCTGGAAACAATTACTTAGTATAATCGGTAAACCGGCCGGTTCAACCGCCTAAACCAGGCAAGTCCCGTGCGGTCAAAAAAGTGTAAAATACAAAAAAACTAATAAAATATGAAAATATATTTAAAGCATGATTAAACAAAGCACATCCAAATGTAGTTTAAAACTAATGAAAAAATGGATTTTATAGAATTGCTTTGTGTAAAGGGTATTTTTAAAATTTTTCAAAAAAGATGAAAAAATATAAAAATAAGTATTAATGGCCAAAACAATTTCCAATCTTTGCCAAAATGATAAAAACATTAAAAAATACATTAGAAGCAAAGTCCCTTTTTTTTTGGGATTTTATATAATTTTTTTTTAAATACCTAGCTGGTTCACCACAACCGGTCAAAACCAGAATCCGCCAATGGCCAGTTTTGATCTAATCAGGCGGCTAGAATTTGAACTGCCCAATTTTTCCTACACTAATTTTAACTACTTTCTCGTCTTTACTCTTATTGTTGCTGAACTTGCATTCCATATACTCTATCTTCATCTGGCTAATTTTAAGGGAAAGGTTTCTATACTTCCCCTACTGCATAGAAGATCTATGCTTCCCCAACCATCCAGCTGTCCAATTTTGATCAAGAGAGCCACTCACTGTTTCATCTTAAATCCGACATCTCAAAGTATTTTATGTTTAGTTTTTTTTATACAAATTTTATGAATATAAAATTTGGTATGTGCCATCTTCTCATTGGGGTGCACCTATAAAAAAGTTTAAAATAATTTTTCGATGAAATATAATGACCAAAATACCCCTTGAAAGTTTCAGGGGTATTTTGGTCATTTTATTTTATTTGAATTTTTTTTTTTACTTTTTTTTCTAGTGCGAGTTTAATAGAGGATAAGACGTCCAAAATTTGGTATTAAAATAGTTTATATAAAAAAATTAAAAATAAAATAGTGTAGAGATGTGACATTGTGATTGGGGCAATCTTAGCCCTCCATTCAGGATGGACGATTGAATAAGGGGAAGTATATAAGTTTTATGTTGTAAGGGAAGCATAGAAAGCTTGCTCTAATTTTAAAACACTTAGATTCTAGAGCATCCCTCCAATGTTCTAACTTTGCGTTAACGTCGTTTCGGGTCTCATCACTCAAAATTATGTCATTTGCAAATGAATACATCATGGTACCTCCTCATCTTATCCTAGTTAAGTTGTCTATAACTAAGACAATGAAGTATGGGCTCACTGTTGACCCTAGATGTAGACCTATTGTCATCAAAACTCGTTCATCTCTCTACAAGTTGGGCCCACACTAGTTAGTGCTCCCTCGTACATACCTCTTACCAAGTCGATGTAGTATTTGAAGACACCCCTTTTTTCCCATACTTACCAAATTAAATCTAGAGGTACTCTATTATAAACTTTCTTTAGATCAATAAAGACCATGTGGAGGTCTTTTTCTTCGCTTTAAACTCCTCAATCATTTGCCTAGGAAAGAAAATAGTTTGAGTTGTTCACCTCCCTTGTATAAAACTAAAGTGGTTTTCTAATACACTCGTTTCATGCCTTAGTCGTGGCTTAATCATTTTATCCCACAGCTTCATAGTGTGATTCATAAGTTTGATCATTCGATAGTTCTCACAATTATGTAAGTCTTCTTTGTTCTTGTAAATATGTATCACAATACTTTTCCTCCATTCATCTGGTATTTTCTTTGTTCTCAACACCTTGTTGAACAGCTTAGAGCCAGTAGATATCGATCTACCCCATACACTTCCAAACCTCTACCGGGATACCATGTGGTCCTAAAGCCTTTCCAATCTTCATCCTCTTCAAAATTTCTTTTACTTCCGATATCATGATACTACGCATGTATCTATGTCCTCCGTCCTCATTTATGCCAACTGTTCCTTCTACTGCGATGTTCCCATTGTGTTCGTCATTTAATAATTTTTAAATAAACTCTCCATATTTCATTGACCTCTTCATCCTTCACCAACACCCTTTGATCCACACTCTTAATGTATTTAATATGGTATAGATCCCTACACGTTTTTTCTATCATTTTTGCTAATATGCATTTAATATGGCTGCCTATCTAACACCACCCACCTCCTTTACCTAAGCTTGGGACAGGTTTAGGGAAAGTTTAAGGTCCTCACTCTTCTTAGACCATAGTTTTTCTGGCTTTAGTATATTTAAAACATTGAGGTTTTTTATGGTAAGTCAAACATAAGTGAGAGGAGAAAAGATTGAGATAAGTGAAACGGAGGATTTGTTTTTTAGGGAAGAGAGAGATAGGGAGAGGAAGAGAGAAAATGGGGAATGGGAGACAAGTTGTAGGAAGAATAGGAATACGTATGAATAGACCTGAATTTCAAAGAAAAACTTAATTTAAATCTATGCAAAGCAGGAGAATTAATTTAAATCTATGCAAAGCAGGAGAACTCTTGTTCAATGTATACAGAAAATAAACATGAACACACATAGAATAATAGAAATAATCTAATAGTAATACTCTCTAAATACTTTATCTTAATGTTATTTTAAGACTGATTGGAGTTTACTACCCGTAAAAGTGACTGAACTTATCACGGTTATGTTTATGACAACTTAGAAGACCAATTGGAGTTTACTACCCGTAAAAGTGACTGAGCTTATCACTGTCATTTTTATGACAACATTTGATTTGCTACATGAACATTTTCTATATCAAGACTGACTATTTCGATTGATCCAGGGTGCTGTAGAGAGCATACTTGAACGGAGTTCCCATGTTCAGCTTGCAGATGGATCAGTTATTATCATGGATGAGTCATGCAGACAGTCGATTATAATGACACTCTTAAACATGAGCTCAAAGGGCTTGCGGTGCTTAGGATTTGCGTTCAAAGAAGATCTTGGGGAGTTTTCTGAGTATTATTCAGAGAGTCACCCTGCTCATCAGAAATTGCTTGATCCTCTCAATTATTCGTTGATCGAGAGCAATCTAGTTTTTGTTGGCCTTGTTGGACTAAGGGTGAGTGCTTATGTCGAAGTCTACTCTCTCTCTCTCTCTCTCAACAGAATAAAAGTGAGGGCGCACTTCCTGTCACTTACTAAATCACTCAGACATGCTCTCGCTTTTCATATGTTTTAGTACCCTGGTATGCTTTTTGCGTCTTTATTTCTATTTTCCAATATACAGCTCCTCTCACTTTATTTAACTTCACCTTTTCCTCATGGGGACGACTTCTGTTATATTTTATTCAATTTTCCTTCTTAAACTCTCACACATATAGTTAGAGCATATACATCCATCTCAATTTTCTTTAATGATACTTTTCATTGTCAACTTGTCATTCTTAACATATTCTTTTAGACAAACATCCCAGCCTGCCATTTGAAAAACAATCATTTTAGACCATATTCCTCCTTTTTCCTCACTTTCTAGGTTGAAATTTGACATGGACAGGATCCTCCTCGAGGTGAAGTTCACAAAGCCATAGAGGATTGTGAAGAAGCTGGTATTAAAGTAATTGTTATCACGGGTGATAATAAATCGACAGCCGAAGCTGTATGTCGGGAGATAAGGCTCTTCTCTTCTAATGAGAACCTCAAAACAAGAAGCTTTACAGGGAAAGAATTCATGGCTCTTCCTCCAAACCTTCAGGTTGAGATACTATCGAAGCCTGGAAGCCTTGTCTTTTCCCGAGCTGAACCGAAGCACAAACAAGATATTGTGAGGATGCTAAAAGATGCTGGTGAGGTTGTGGCAATGACTGGAGATGGGGTGAATGATGCACCTGCACTAAAGCTTGCTAATATTGGAATTGCAATGGGTATCACTGGTACTGAGGTAATTTCCCCCTACAGTGTGAGAACTTTTATTGAATGGATTTTATGTATGAAAAAAGAGGGAAGATATACTATTATCTAATGGACTATGGAGACCGTAGTTCATGGGGACTGCACCATGAAATGATGGACTGTGATGGAGAGAGAGATGGACCCTCCTGGACATGCTCCCAATGCCAGGTCGAATTCACTCTCCATCCCCATCAATCGTTTCATTGGATGGTGAAAAGAACTATGTTTCCACAGTCCATTGGATTTAGTACACACTTTTCAATTTAGCTTGTTTATCTAAAACAGTTATACATGCAAAATCAAGTGTGACCAGGATATTTGTTTATAGAGAATGTTAAATTAGGTTCTTTGATGCCTATCTATCTGTTTTGTGTTTCAGGTTGCTAAGGAAGCATCGGACATGGTTCTGGCAGATGATAACTTTAGCACTATTGTTTCAGCAGTCGCTGAAGGACGATCTATCTACAATAACATGAAAGCATTTATTAGGTATTTTCTTGTACCAATCATCATGAGTTAAGGGGAAAGTTAAAAAACTAGAGTTCTCGGGCTATTGGTTTTGAACATCCATTGATTAATTAATCACAGTAGTTCATAGTTTTGTTGAATATGATGCTGTACCTTAAAGGTTTTCAGAAACTAAGGCAAAAGGAAATGCAATCTTTGAGATAAAAGTAGTGAGGTATGCATTTCATAAATTCTGATTTGTCTCTTTAAGTAAGGGCAGTGGAGGGTTTGCCCGTGGTCAAGAGAGAGAGAAAGAGAGAGAGAGAGAGAGAGAGAGAGAGGGAAGTATCTTTTCATTTTTTTGGGTTTCTTCCAATTCCCTTTGTAGAATCTTTGTAGAATATCATTCTCTAATAATTTCTATCGTTTAAAATGAATTACAGGTACATGATATCATCTAACGTGGGAGAGGTGATTTCCATCTTTCTAACAGCTGCACTGGGAATACCAGAATGCTTGATATCAGTGCAACTCCTTTGGGTCAATCTGGTAACTGATGGACCCCCTGCCACTGCTCTCGGCTTCAATCCAGCTGACGTAGATATCATGAAGAAGCCACCTCGCAACAGCAATGATGCACTCATCAATTCTTGGGTTCTCTTCCGTTACTTGGTACTCACTCTTCATCTACTTTATTATCATATAAAAAAAAAACAACCTCAATCTCCTCTGCTCTTTTTGTAATTAGCTAATGAAATGTTCATATGATTAAGAGTTATGCATGGAAGACAGGTAACCTCTAAAACAGTATTTTGTTGAAAGAAAATGGTGGTAAGTATACTGTAGCCATTAGGATCATGATGGGGTTAAGTATACTGTAGTCATTAGGATCATAACTGTCAGCATGGAGAGAGAGAGTCGGGCGGTGGATCCCACTCTCTACATCACCCATCCATGATTTGATCATGCAATGATGACCATAACAGACTGGATTTATGAGGTCCATTGGTTATAGTATACTTAACCAAGTGGGGAAAGAAGACTAAGAAAAAAAAAACAGAGAGAGTACAACGAGGATTTCTCTTTGTTTTGAAGTAACTATTGATTATCTTAAATCATTTTCACATTGATGAGGCAAACCGTTATAAAACATAATGAAAATGGTTACTTACTTACTGGTTTGTGAATTAAATTAGCTCTTGAATAGGATTTGTTTTTGGGAATGGATTGTTTGCTTGAATAGCTTTCTCTAGTTCATGCATTTTTGGTGGTTCCTTTGTCTAATTGGGAAAAGAGGAAGCGACAATTACAATGCTGATTTTGGGATACAGCACTCTCGTTTCAAACATTTTATGGACCATAACTGGTGTTGAGAAAAATGGAATTAACCATCATACGAAGATAAATAGCTCAAAGTTCTGGAGAAAATACATCTCTCTCTCTCTCTCTCTCTCACACACACGGAGCTCTTAGGCACACATTTCTTAAGCCCAGTTTTCTACAGGTAATTGGCCTCTATGTGGGGGTGGCTACTGTCGGCGTCTTCACATTATGGTACACGCAAAGCTCCTTTCTTGGCATTGACCTTTCACAAGATGGCCACACTCTCATCTCTCTAACCCAGCTCCGCACCTGGAGTGAATGCCCCTCATGGAGCAATTTTACCGTTTCACCCTTTGTAGCTGGTGGACGTGTCTTCTCTTTCTCAGACCCGTGCGATTACTTCACCGAAGGAAAGGCAAAGGCCATGACACTCTCTCTATCTGTTCTGGTGGCTATTGAGATGTTCAATTCTCTCAATGCCTTATCAGAGGACAACAGCTTGGTTACATTGCCACCCTGGGCTAATCCATGGCTTTTAGGAGCCATGGCTGTCTCATTTGGCCTTCATTTTCTCATACTTTATGTGCCATTTTTGGCTAATGTGTTTGGGATTGTTCCTCTAAGCTGTAATGAGTGGTGCCTGGTATTGTTGGTCTCAGCACCAGTAGTGTTGATCGATGAATTGCTGAAGTTTGCAGGGAGGAGACAAAGGAGAACGACAAAGGAAAAAATGGTCTGAGACTTGGGGAAGGGATGTGAATTTGGAATAACGGTTCTATTGTCCATCATGTTTTCCGGTATTTCCGGTATTTGTTTTACGTGAAAATGGGTGGTTGTTTCCTTTGGTTTGTTTAAACGTTCCTCCTTGATTCAGTCATATTTATAGGCAGTGTTCCGAGAGTCTGACTTGGGCCGAGTTACTCAGCCTTGCCTTATGAGTGAGGCGAGTTTCTCCCGAGTTTGTTGTACACATGTATGTAGATATTATGTATATTTTTAATTCAAAAGCATTCAAAAAGCTTGTTGCTAGCAAGCCTGGTTGCTAAGGGCTAAAAAAACATGAGTTTCAAAAAATGGCACGAGAATCGAATCCAGGACCTCTCAGAGGTAGAGGCATGTCAAGTGCAGCGTTGCTAACCAAGAAGGCATTTTGTATTTGATGTTATAAACACTCTACTTATTTTAGTCTTTATTTTTATTTGTTTAAGTCGAGTTGAACGCAAGTGAGTTACTCAAACTCGTCCAAATAAGTGGTCTTTGCTAAAGACCTTTACCTGAGGTCTGAGTGGTTAGCAAGAAAGAGGAGTTTAAATTGGAATTACTGAAGTTGAAATCTCTCTCTACCCCAAAGAGTGGAACCCCTGACCCGGTCATGTCATGTTTGTACCAAGTAGGAGTTTAAATTGGAATTACTGAAGTTGAAATCTCTCTCTCTACCCCAAAGAGTGGAACCCCTGACCCGGTCATGTCATGTTTGTGCCAAGTACAACCCGTTCATCCATCATTTAAAATAATTAATTGCATGGTGATGAAGCTTGTGACCACACAAAATTACGTACTTCTATGGATATAGAAAGGAACAACCTCCAGTACAGACAGACTGACTGGTTTTCCCCTCTCTAGGGACTCCATCGGGAAAGAGTTGGACATGGGTACAGAGAGAGAGATTGCAGATGATTGGAGGTTGCAAAGATTCATTTCTCAATCTTTCTCATCTTCCTTCCCATTTGTTTGTGCTGGATCTGGTTTTAAACCCTCACTGTTGCACCCCTTTACATTGGACGATGGTCATGGACCTGGATCTTCGGCAATATGAGTATCTGGTGATATTTTCCCTTCTTTAATCGGGGTTTAATTGCTCTTTTTTCACATTACTAAGATATCTGGGTCTATGGGGGCCATATGTATATATACGATCATCTTATACTTTCGGTGATTCAATTTTTTAATCCATTGATGTCTACTGTATGAATTGTTTTTTTTTTTTCATTTCTTTTCAATGGAGTTTGGTTCTCCCTCTACCATTATATGATATAGTTAGTGGACTTGAGGGTGTATAAGGGATCCTAGTCTCAGATATATTTTTTTTTTTGTTGGGGATGGATTAGTCTTTGGATGGATTAGTCTTTTTTCCAAATCTTATGTTGGCTTATTCTAATTACGTCCATGCTTGCATAAAAGTGCGGAGCAATATTGCAAACGTTAAGGTTACAAGATCCTTCGGAGCTGTCAAAGTTACAATAAAGGGAAAGCTTGACATGTGACCCCACCCACATATAAAGTATGTGATCTTCCTCTCAGCTATATGATTCGAGTAGAGTTGGCTCTTGGGTGTTAGATGTTAATATGATGTCTCATATTATTTTTATTTTAAATATTTATTAGGGCCATTTTAAAATATTGGGAAAATTTTGTATAGAACTCTAATTTCTCTTATTATTTCATGGTAGATCCTCTTTCTGTTTTTCTTTCAAGCGGCATACTAAAGATTTCATCATACCCCTTCATCTCTTATCTCCTTCTATTATTGACTTTTGATCATAAAAATTAGCCCCAACAAATATTTTTATACTATTTCAATCCAAAAACTTTTTAATTGGTAGAAAGGGAAAAGAGGGTTAAAATTTTTTTGAGATTAAATGGTATAAAAATATTTGTTGGAGCTAATTTTTATGGTAAAAAGTAAATAAAATAGGGAGATAAGAGATGAAGAGGTATTGTAAAATATTTAGAGATTTTCTTATGCCGCTTGAAAGAAAAAAATAAAGAGGGTCTGTTATGAAATAATATGAGGAATTAGGGTTCTATACGAAATTTTCCCTTAAATATTTAGTAGTACCATCATGTAAAAGCCAGATAAGCTGCAAGGTTATCCCAGGAGGTAGATCGACTATCATGTAAAGATGATGCATGGTTCCCCACTCATGTAAAGACTGCAAGGTTCCCCGCTATGCACTCTACTATTTAGCGGTCCATTGTAACTTGGGCTTATGCTTCTCTTAAGACTGCAAGGTTCCCCACTTTGCGCTTTGCTATTCTACGGTCGATTGTAACTTGGGCTTATGCTTCTCTTCTGTTGACTGTGGTTCCTAAACTACTCTTCGTTTCTCATGTCAAATACTTTCTGGTTCTTAGGAACAATCGTTCCATGATTCGTTGGGTATGAAGGAAACCACCAGAACGCTGGTTCAAACTCAATTTTGATGGAAGTGTGAGGGAAGCACGGTTTGGTTTTTATGGCCTCTTTCAAGATGATATTTGTTATATGAGCTGATCTTACTCTGGTAGCCTCCATCCTTACGAGATCAATGAAACTAAGCTTTGGGCCCTTAAGATGGGTATGTCCCGCGTAGACCAAATGCATTAGAAAGTGATTATTGAAAGAGATTGCTAATGTTATCTCGTGGTGTATCTAGTCAGATCTTGTTCCTTGGAGGCTTAGTGCGGTCACAGATGAACTTCTTTTGACTCTGAGGGACCATGATCTCTCCTTTCTTCATGTTCATCGTGGTTCTAACATTGACGCATAATCTTTAGCTAAGCTGACTGCTATTCATCTCTCTTCATCTTAGCTTTTACTTAGATGCCTTCTTCTCTTCTTTCCTTTTCTCTCTCTTTTTGTATGCTTTTTTCTTTTCGCTTTCTTTTCTTATTGTAATCCTTCATTATCTTAATGAATATCGCACTTACTCAAAATAAAAAAAAGATTGCAACGTTATTTCATGAGAGAGTTGACTACCCAACATAGTGATGCAAATAAAAATTAGAGTTTATTTTTCTTTCTTTTTTTAATTAGGGATAGGAAGAGATAAGTTTAGAGGGCCTGATTGAGGCGCGAGTTTTGTTTTGAGAAGGTCTATTTTTGTAGTTTAGGGAATAACATACAGATAAAGTAAAGATCTTTTGGTTTACGAAATAATAAGTGGAAGTTATCTTTTACTCTTAGAAAGGCTGATGTGGAAGTTAGAAAAAGAGAAAATAGGGGCGGTACATGAGAGAGAGAGAAAATAGTGAGGAGAGAGAAAATAGGATAAAGTACATGGAAAAGAGAGAGAGAACCATATGTGAGTTTGTTCTTCTAGAGTTTTAACGGGAAATGTCCCTACATTGTAATCGGAGATTGAAATTTGAGTAAAATTTGGTATTGTGAAAAATATCGTTTTTTGGGTGGATTCCCTTGCAGACCCTGCGAGATGGTGTATTCTCTCGTTGGGGGTGGGTCTGCAAGTTGGGGGTGGATTCTCTCTCAACCCTGAAAGATGGTATAATTTCTCACCCTTTGTTTTATTTTTGTTATAACTATTTTTTTCTCCCTACATCACATAGGCTCATCGTAATGGACATCTGCATAAAAACATGGAGGAGAAGAGGAGAAAGTAATGGGCGTCCAACAACTGGGTGGTGTAATTTAAAAAATGAAAAAATAGATTTATCTAAGCATAAATTAATTACAAAAGGAAAAAGACCTAATAAAATTTTATTTTTTGACTTTGACCCTCCCAGTGTTTATAGTGGGCAAGTAAACTAATTTCCACAAACAAAATAGAGCAATGATCCAATGCAACAGTTGTATCATAGTATAATGCAACGATACATATAGAAAATCATGTTTGTGGTATTTGTATGAACCCAAATTTTACACATACACTCTCTTTATCTCAATAATCAATCTCCAAAAAAAACAAAAGTTCAATTTGAACCCTAGATATGGTCAAAATGAGTCATCTCCAAAAACGAATCTAGACCATTCATTTTGTGAATTTCAATATCTTAACCTTTATAAACT